ATATGGAAAGAAGCAACAGCTTGATTTGAAACTTATCAAAAGCTAACAAGTTGTATAGATAAATTATCTAGATAATTTCTGCAACCTTGCKTTTTATAGGCAGAGGACTGTATAAATTTTTCCTGTCAGTATCTGAATATTCATTTTGCAAATATCTATTAATAAGCATTTATTACATGCCAGACACAATACTGAACACTGCACATACAACAGTAAGAACAAGTATGATTCCTAGTTTCATAGAGCTTAGTTCTACTGTGTTTAAAGTTCTGTGCAAATGTTTAATGTATAATTAATTTGTGATCAGGATAGCGTGTGGCTCCAAGAGTATTTAAGAGAGACCTGACCTTGTGGTTTGAGGAAAACTTCCTTAAGGAATTCCTGTCTTGGCMAAACCATTAAAAGAACTACAAAAGGTGAGAACAGAATGAGTGGTACAACAGAGGGTGTAGCCATGAGGAAGGAACTGGGCACATTCCAAGACTTGAAAGGGCAGCATAGKTGAAACATAAAAAACAATGGTGAACGTGTAATAAGATAAAGACAGAGGACAGATTAATTAGYAGGCTCTTGGTGGTATTTGTTAAGAGACTTTAACCCAAGAACAATGTCTTTGAAAGAGTTTTAGACTCAACAATAAGAAAATGAACWAACAACTGATTTCAAAATGGGCAAAAGATCTGAACAGACACCTCACCAAAGAAGATGTACYCAGGTGGCAAATAAGCAATGAAAAGATGTTCAACATTTCATGTCACTAGGGAATTGCAAATTAATACGAGAAACAACTGCACAACTATTAGAATGGTAAAAATTTAAAACACTGACACAAAAAATGCTGGGAAGGATATGGTGCAACATTGCTGGTGGGGATGCAAATGGTAGTGACTCTGGAAGACAGTTTGGCGAATTCTTACAAAAAYTGAACATGGTCTTACCATATGACCCAGCAGTTGCACACTTTGTAATTTACCCAATGTAAGTTGAAATTTTACATCCACACAGAAACCTGCTTATGGCAGTGTGTAGATTTAYTCATAATTGCCAAGACTTAAAAGCAACCAAAATGTCCTTTAGTAATGATACATCCAGACAGTGGGATATTATTCAGTGCTAAAAAGAAAGGCGTTATCAAGTCATGAAAAACACGGAATAACTTAAGTGTATGTTACTAGTAAGCAAGAGAAATCAATCTGAAAGAATACCTACTGTATGATTCCAACATTATGGGGAAAGCAAAACAGAGAAAACTAAAAACAAAATAGTGGTTTCTAAGAGACAGTGGAAGGCTAAACAATTGGAGCTATAAGTTCACTGGTAAGCCAACTCTTGATATAGAGTGTGTTTAAATGAAAGTGTATTTTCAGAATTAATACAATGACAAAGATTTAGTGTGTAAATCTAGAAAATTCCCTTGTTAGCACTGGTTAATATTTGCCTAAAGCATAAGAAAACTCACCACTTCATATTTTTTCCATTACTAAAAAAAATTTAAAATAATTGATAAAATGATTTGAGGGTWCTACGAAATTATAAGTATAAATCCATGCATCATATTAATGTCTTATGCTTTATGTAGAATTGAATACTTAATTTTTTTTAGTTGTAGATGGACACAATACTTTTATTTTATTTATTTGCATGTGGTGCAGAGGATCAAATCCAATGCCTCACACATGAGAGGGAAGTGCTGTACCACCGAGCCTCAGCCC